AGAGCACGAATTTTATTATCTCATGCTTCTGAAATAGTTAGTATGATCTTCTCCACCTTGATTGTGGGTCGTAAGTAAATGCTTCTATGACTTCTCTATTGTATCCATGAAGTTGATCCCAAGAGATCAGGGAATATATTAATCTCATCCTTGATACTGGATTGAAAGGCTTCCATCATAACCTCCATCTCATCCGACATGTCTTCTGGAGACAGTCTATTTTTACTATTTATATGAAGAACAAGTGACACCAGAAAAAGATATTGGGAGGATTTTTTTCGAAACGGAGGCATAATAATTGCCTCGTCGATTAAATATTGAGAGGCTCACTACTGGGACGTTGCTTCAGTGCCGATACTTTCTCCTATTGCACTTAGTGAGCTGCACAATGACATGATTATTTTAGGTAAATATTTTTTCTATCACACAAATAGATATGGCTCATTTTCTAATCATTTACTATTATGTTACCCTACTATATTGGAGGGATCAACTTTATCTGGTATACAAATAGAGTATCACACGGATAGTGATCAGTAATTTAGTATAGATGGGAAGTAGAACACCACATGTCAAGTAAGTTTAGTGCAGTATCTATTTGCCTGACTCCGTGCTATTTGTGTTTAGTTTTCAATTGTTGAAATGTTTTTTTCTTTCAAATATGCCAATTTTCCCAAGGTCTGAACAAAACAATTTATAATGTTTGGCATTTTAAACCACAAAAGTTGCCATTCTCTATTTTTATTGGTTTAATATAGCTTATAAGTTTTAATACAGAGTTTTTTTTGTTGCTAAAAATTCTGGCTTCAATGCGGTAATTTGCATCTCAGTGCTTATGTGTATAATTACTCATGCTCTTTTCAGCCCAATGCTTTGAGACAAAGGAAATGGAGCTCACTTTGGCAAAAATAGATAGTAAGGAATCTATTTCTTTGTCAATATTGGAGCTCTAACACTCACTCTCAAGTATTGCAAGCAAGAAACTGCAGTGCCCAATGATGCACATATGAAGATTGATTTACAACATTTTGACATAATATTTCATATTGTGTCTCTTTTGGGAACCCTGTTTGTGTACTTATACACATTAATATTCATGTAGACACGATCGAAAAACTCACATTTCGCAAATTTTATAATTATACCAAGTATTGTGTCCATTGCAATTTTCTTATTTTAAGTTCTTCATACACTATGCAAAACTTTAACTACCAACATGTTAATAGGACTAAGAGTTCCCGCAGCAATGCGCGGGGGTATCAATATCATCTACTTTAATAACATCAGTGGCTAAATTGGCGAAGGGCACCATTAAAGAAGAACTAAGCCCAATTCCAAGTTGATGCCACACTTAGTCCTAGGGGCTACAACTACCATAACCACAAAACAAATGACAAATACATGAAGGACTTATCGTAAATATCGGGCTCCGCCGATAGGCCATGCCTCTGGATGGAGGGGTAGAAGAGCTTCATCTCATCGCCAGCCCGTCCATGGCGGGTATGGTCTCTTCTGGCACATCCGCCCTCAGCTCACTCCCCTTTGGGAGGAGAGACGGCAGTGACACCATGGCTGAATCTGCCGCCCACTTCCTATTCTTCTTCCTCACCTTCGGGCAGTAGCCTCCATCTTCGAGACATCAATGACAGACTTCAATATAAAAGTAAAATTATCGGCAAACACTTCTTTTTCCCTTTTCAAACTGAGGGGCGTCTAACCATGCATGCATCATTCCACCATGTGACGACAATGTTTATAAAACTCAAGCATGTGGTTGAAATATCAATTATATTTTCATAAATACCAAAAAGAACAAGGGAATAAATGCCCTTTCACATGCAATGGAGCAGGACGAAAAGGTTGTTGCTCGCGAGCTTAACAAGCACTCAAAAGTTCAACTTGTTAAGGACCATGCTCACTAGTTCATGAACCAAGTCGACAATCAATTTTCTGGACGAGCTTAATGAGCGAGCTCACGTGTTTCACGAACAACTCATTTGGCTCGTTATTAATCCCAAGGGTCCTGCCATCTAGCTCATTACTAATTATCAAGGCTCGAATGCTAAACCCAATATAATTATTGATAGTTAAATCAAAACCATCATTAAGTGTGGGACAGGAACTGCCGCCAAGAAAACCTAGATCATCTACAACCACTTCCTTCCCCTCTCACCGTCGCCAGAGTGTGTTATTGGGCAAATCCCATGCCGCTTTGGCAGAGAGGTCCTACTTGTGGATGGTGTCCTGATGCATCGATTTGGCAAGGGGACTTTGTTTCTTGGTCGGGGCTACAAGAAGGTGGTGTTGCCCTGGTTTAGGAATAATGCCCTCCTCGTCCTATCCTCGTTCTTTCTAGCGGTTAGCGTCAGTGGATGGCATGCAGACGTGTGTCTCCAACAAAACTTCCTGGATCCGATCGGTTTTGGTCTCCTGTGGATCCGTCTGGATTCGGTCAGCGTTCATGGTGTGTGGAGTATCTACATGATCTTTACGATGTCTTCTTCTCCGGGGCGACTTTTTGCTATGAAGATTGCAGCATTTGACGTCTTCTGGTTTACATCAACGACTTCTCGGATGTTGTTTCTACAAGCTTTTGAGTTTAAATATGTTTGCTCCACTGAGGCGGAGGCCAAGAGGCAACATCGAACTTTGCTCACGGTGCGTAACCAATTGCTGTAGGAGGAGTAAGATTTTGGCACACAAGGAATTTGATGTATTTTTGTGTATGGGTGTGTTCGCAAAGACTGTGATATAGTTAATGTACTCCTTTCGTTCCACAATGTAGTGCATATAGATTTTTTTTTCCAAAATTCAAGCTTATCAAACTTTGACCATGTTTATAGAGAAAACTATCTATATCTATAATACACACATGTACATTACCAAAATATAACTCATAATGTATCCAACGATATGTATTTGGTATTCTAGATGACCTATTTTTCTTTATATAATATGATCAAAGTTCGCATAGTGTGACTTTTGGTAGAACATATATGGAGGAAGTATTTTGGAATGGATGAAGTATGACTTTAGGCCTTTCTGAAAGCAAAAAAGAATGCTTTCTATACACTTAACTTGAGGTTATCCATGTTCAAATACTCCCTTTGGTCTTTTTTACTCTGCACATAAGAATTGTCTGAAGTCAAACTTCATAAAGTTTGATCATATTTATATGAAAAAATATCAACATCTACCATGCTAGAGTTATACAATATGAAGTTTGACTTCCCCGCTCTCTTCGCCGAACTCCAGTCGCTTGCCTGGACGTTGTGGACTGTTAGGGCAACTCGCGTTTCATCGTCCTTTTGGTCTGGCTGAGGTCGCTGACTGGCATGAGTTGCTCGACTGCATTGCTCTCCACGAGCCAGATCTTGAGATAGGAGATGACCGCACCAGATGGTGTCTTGAGCCCTCAGGGAAATTCTCCACTAAATCTCTCTACCAGGCCATCGCCCCCTCGATGGGCCATGAGGCACTCACCGCCATTTGGGAGATCTGACTCCCCCTGAAGATTAGGATCTTCTTGTGGTAATGGTTTCGCGACCGCCTTCCGTCCGGCGTGGAGGTCCTGAAGCGCAACGGACCCGGTGATGGGCGGTGCCTGCTTTGCGGGCCTGAAGAGGATTCGAACCATATCTTCTTCACCTGTGTGTTCGCGCAGTTCCTCTGGAGCTGTTTCCGCGAAGTAGTGGGTGGAAGCTGGGATCACAACAACTTCCCCGCTCTCTTCGCCGAACTCCAGTCGCCTGAACCCTCTGTGCGCCACATTAAGTGGCTGATCATTGGGGTGCTTGCCTGGACGCTGTGGACTGTTAGGAATAAGCTTGTGATTCAGCGTATCCCTCTTCGTCGTGCTACTGACGCTTTGTTCAAATGGTCTGGTTTCTTGCAGTTTTGGCGGCCGCTTAGCCGTCCTAGGGAGAGAGACACCATCATCACCCAGCTTCGCGTGATGGCTCTCCGGTTGACTCCTCCGCTTCCCCTACCACCTCCGGAGCTGGATTAGATCTTCCCTTCCCCGCCGCCATCGCCGTTTATGTGTTGTCTTGTGCGCATGTGTTCAGCTTGTTATGTTGTGCCCACAGCTGAACCTTATGTTTGTGAGGGTGTGTTGGACCGGTGCCTGCGGTAGCGTTGTGTGTGTTTGTGGGTTTTGTATGATACCTTGTGAACGTTGTGCTCGGTGGTTGCTTTATTTATAAAGTGGGGCGAAAACCTTTTTCGGTACAATATGAAAACTTAAGTCATGACGCATCTACTGATATTGATTTCACATTATGAATGTTGGTATTTTTTTATTACGTTTGTCGAACTTTATGTGGCTTGACTTCAGACAAATCTTATATGCGAACTAAAAGGACCGGAGGGAGTACATGGTTGACTAATCATTGATGTTCAAACCATGAAGTCATCCATGTTCAAACATTTTTTTATTATGCTACTAGTTTGAAAGTTTCAATTTCGGGAAAGGTCGTTGCAGTTCTACTCAGCTACATGTTTAACTATTCTCTAAATGTTAAAATTTTGAATATGTGATGCAATGCTTTTGTGTTGTTTCCAACTTTACCAGTAGACGTGAGCACTCAACTTAATGAGTGTTAGCTTTAACAAGCTTATCGAACCAAGCTTTAATGATCATGAGTTTAACGAACCGAGCAACTCGTTTATCTCATACCTGTCCATCGAAACAGACCATTTCTCTTAAAAACTAATACCCTTCAAGCATTGTACATATTTCTAAGCTTAGATTACATCTGAATTCCAACAAAATTTAACACAATTTATTGACCTGAAGTGGTGTTAATAAATGACGGAGCTAATTGGTGATAATCAAAGACGGAGGTAATTGAATTTGTCGACATCATCAAGATTTGTTGATTCCTTCTCTCACGAAAAAGAGAGAGGCTCAACCAGGATACGGAGAGTAGATGCCACTGCAAGATTGGCAATTCTAGAGATCGCGTCTTCCGAAACGCAAACTTTGCAGTGTCATCAGTCTAGATTTTGTTTTCATCGATGTCCCAAGGGACCAAATCCGACTCATACTTGAAAACTTCTTGTATGCATTTGTGATGCACGGGGACTTCTGCTATCTTGCCCCTCCAAAAATCGTACCTGTAAAACAAGTGCAAAATTAGTACCACTTTGCTCGCGAATAATGGAGATTGTAACGAAGATGTGAAAGAGAATTAAGCGAGCGATTTCATCACCAGATCACTCTGTATACACTGTTGAAGAATGCGACCTCGGAGGAGCAGAGATCCCTGAGTATAAGGGCTCTCCCTTCCTGCATCCCGAGATTCTTCAAGTTCACCGCCATCTTCTTCTCCCATCTCTCCTGCTGCCTGCCGTAGTCAGTGATCACCCACACCTCCGCCTCCTCACCCACGATCACTACCAGGCACAACTTGCCATCCACCGTCACCAGCTTCTTCTTGCCCGCCCACCTGTCTGTTCTGTCCTCCAGCTCCGGCGGGAGAACAATGAGCCTCCACGCCTCGCTCTTCATGTCGAACGCGAAGATGTCCTCGGCGGCGCTGACCCTGTCCGGCCACCGGAGCCAATGCATGGCGCCGTGGGCCCTCACCGCCGGGCCGGCGGCCACGAGCGACTCCGGCCACACCATCACGTCTGCCGAGCGCCGCCACGCGCGCCTCCGCGAGTCGAAGATCTCGCAGCGCAGGTGGTCACGCAGCGTCGGGACCGAGAGCCGGAGGATCTTGAAGACCGCCGCGGCGCCGGCGCCGGCGGGGCGCGCCACCATCGCGGTGACCGCCGTGGGGAAGCGCAGCCTTGGGTTGGGCAGCGCCCGCCACTGCCTCGTGGCGGGCTTGTACGCGTAGTAGCATCGCGCCGACGACGCCTTGCCGCCCATGCGTGCGGCGGCGTCGGCGTCTGCGTCGACGCAGCACGCGAGGCCGCGGTGCGCGGAGACAGCCTCGACGCGGACGTGGGCTGACGGCAGGAAGTCGAGGGAGACGGACGGATCAGCGTCGGCCTGGGAGGGGTGCATGGATACGAAGGTGGCGGAGTAGCGGTTGCGCGCCATGCCCTGGACGAAGTATCCCGAGACGACGGCTTCGGCGCGGCGACGGCAGTGCAGCGGCGAGAACGCCGGCTCGTACGTGAGCCGGCGCCACTGGGCAGACACCTGGCGGCACGCGGAGAGGTCGTCGAGGGAGACGCGTGTGAGCATCTCGAACATCTGGTCCTCAGGCAGGCCGCCGCTATCTTCGTCATCGCCAGCACCATTGCCTTGCTCCGGTTCGCTTGACATGGTCGTCCGATCGGCTCGTCCCCGTGACCCGGGAGCTCGCTGGGTAATACGAATCTGAGTTCGGGCCAGAAGAGACCGGCTACGTTGGCTGCGTCAATTAAACAACGGCGAAATAACTGCGAGGGTTAGGGCGGGAGGAGGAGGTAAGCTTGAGAACCAAGAAATTTGTGTACAAGACCACTTGAGAACCAAGAAACTCTCCCAACGATCTCCCTCGAAAATACAAGAAACCCTACGATCAGAAGGCTGCGACCAAGGGCAAGACTGTTGGGCCGTTGGATGAAGATCAGAGGCTGCTGCCCAGTCAATCGGGCCCAGTCTATCTATCCCCCAAAACAAAAGAACGAGTTAGCTGTGCAAGTATGAAAGGAGCAGCCAGCCACAGAGCTACTGCGGTAGACCTTGGCGCAGAGCCGCCTTAACGCAGGCCTAAGAAAAGATGGAGAGCCTGGCTGCCCATCGAATTCAAGGCAACGTGACCAATGGAACTGTTGAATAAAACTTGCGCTGTCTAGTTTAGGACTTCAGGGGCCCTGGCAGAACTTTGTACACTGCCATGGCAGCTGTTTTGCGTTGAATGATCGTACCATGGCAAAATTTGTACACTGGCTACTCATGCGCCAAGCTAGCTGATTAGAGCATCTATAACCGGACTAGCAAAAGTGGTCATTGGCGGCCGGGCCAAGTGCGGCGCCTTCTCGTCGTCCTCCTATCTACGAAGACCTTGGAGCTCCAATGTCCGCCTCATAGGGGCGAAACCAGCGTAGAGTCTTTGGCTTCAATTGAACCCATGATAATTTGATGTCACATACTTGTGTACTACTTTTCTTTGGTAATGTACCAATGAAAAAAAAAACGGAATGTGGTGGCTATTTCGAGTGTACTACATCCGAGTTTGCCAAAAAAAAGATTAAACATGATCAAACAAAATAAAAAACCTGAAATTTTGAGACATCAAACCTTATCAACTTATCAAATGGTCGAGCTTCTGACAAAATTTCAGCCAAAAATAACATTGGACAAGCTCTCACTAAAGAACGAAATCACTGCACAAACTTTGAACATTGATTTTGTTTTTTAGTGAGAGATGCTCGAATGTTATTTTTGGGCTAAAATTTTCCAAGATGCTCGAACATTTGATAAAGTTTGATGTTTCAAATTTTTAGATTTTTTGGAATTTGTTTGATCATGTTTTGTCATATATTTTCTGCAAACTCGGTTGTAGTACACCAAAGTGAGGAGGCAATAAAAAGTCCACAAGCAGTAAATCGCCCCCGTACATTGCCTCTTCGACATCAGTTATTTCATATGATCGCTATGATATACACGGCAGCGGCAAACCTCTCTTCGTTCTTGTTCGGTTTTAGAAAACTCGCAATCTCTCCCCTGTCCGCCGTGAAACCAGGATGCGTCGTTAGGCACTCACTGTTGAAAGACAATCACAATTTGAATTTGTGGTTTGAATCACATCTTCACGTCCCCTCTCTCATGTGCATGTTCTTTTTAGTCCTAACTTTCTAACTAGTTATCCTCTTACTTTGATTGATCTAAGATATGGGACCATATTTCTCAAAGAGAAATTGATCGCCGGGTCCAAATAATGATGACGATACTTTTAAGGATAACCATTAGACGTAGGCAAGGTGTACCAAATGTCAATAATGCAAGAAATCTCCCGAAGCCTTCTATCCAAAGAGAAATTTATTTAGAGGAAATCTTATGATATGGTTGATCGGAAGAGAATTTCATCCGCACATATCATGCACTCTTTACTTTTAGTGTAACATAATATGTCATAAGTGATGTTGTATTTCTGTTTGTTAAGTTGTTTTTAGTGCTATACTTTTGTTGTAAGATGATGTAAAATTAGAGTTTACACTGGCTCACCTTGCCCTTGAGGATATTTGTATGTACAAATCTATTTGCTTTTTCCCGCAAAAAAAAAAACAAATCTATTTGCTTTACCTATCGCAACTAGCTACTCCACATGTCACTTCCGCAACCGTCCTGCTGGGACCGTGACCGGCTATCCCACCCATGGATCAAATAGTGATCTACCTGGTTCACCGTATGTTTCCCTGAAATTGGCTTGATTCCTTGTTAGCTACCCTGCTCGTTCTTAGGTGGGGTTTGTGGTCAGGCGGTCCTTTTCTACCCGACACAAAAAACAGCCTACAATCGCATAAGTTAACGTCATGCTTTCAAATGAATCTGCTCCATGGTTCACTGAGATCTTCTTTCTAATGGTTTGCCTAATTTTTAAGTTGCTTTTGTTAGAATTTATTTTATAAAGTTTACTTTCCTTCTTTGTTGATTATTCATAGTCATGTAGGGAACCAGACACCCTCTGATGGTACGCCATGGCCTAATATTTGTTTGGTATATCACCCCATAGACTGAAGTTGTAGTTTGGGCAGATTTGGCCCCACTGTTGCTTTACTTCATGGCTGCAGTTGTGAAAGGATCGATGAGGGAGTCCTGAATTAAGGGGTCCTCGGACAGCCAGACTATATGCATATGCCAGACTGTTGGACTATGAAGATACAAGATAGAAGACTTCATCTCGTGTCCGGATGAGACTCTTCTTTGCGTGGAAGGCAAGCTTGGTGGTTAAGATATGAAGATTCCTTTCTCTGTAACCGACTCTGTGTAACCCTAGCCCCCTCCGGTGTCTATATAAACCAGAGGGTTTAGTCCGTAGGACGGCAACAATCATAACCATAGACTAGCTTCTAGGGTTTAGCCTCTACGATCTCGTGGTAGATCAACTCTTGTAATACTCATATCATCAAGATCAATCAAGCATGAAGTAGGGTATTACCTCCATCGAGAGGGCCCGAACCTAGGTAAACATTGTGTCCCCCGCCTCCTGTTACCATTAGCCTTAGACGCACAGTTCTGGACCCCCTACCCGAGATCCGCCGGTTTTGACACCGACAATCGAGAAGAGGGGTCT